TGTTTTTTGAATTCAACTGACTCTGACAGGTTTGCCCCACACCCCGCCGTGCGCAAAGGCCGACAAGCGTAGGGCGAGGACCCGTCCATCGCCGCTTGTGGCTTTAATTTGGTTTGTCACTCAGTACGTTTGTGAAATGCAGCACAAAAACATTAAATACCAAGGCAAATAATTGTAGTTTTATTACAAAATGATTTATTTTTTTTTACAAGTGGACATAAAATTATTAGTGACATTCATCTACACTTTCCCTAAATTAGTCATCAGAACGAGTGCTGGGTATAGAAACATTTACAGTACAGAAAGATTAGGGTGCATAGCAATAGAAGTGAAATCTGGCTGTTGTCTTTTTACAGTACAGTAAATTATCAACCTTCTCCAAACATGAGGTGAAGAGAAAAAGGTACTTTATCATGTAAAAACGCTTTTGACTCTAAAAACTTTGTTTGACAACTGCATAGACCAATAAGCTACTGTCTTCAACCTCAAATTGATGTATTACAAATACACATATAACAAATACAGCAGTTACACTGAAGTACTAATTGGTTTATAATGAAACCACAGAGTAAAAGCCAGGCACAGTGCAACACTAAACAGCCTGTGCAGTAGATGATAGTGGACCTGCAGTTGCGTCTTTGACAACAGAATTGGATTTCATGCTGAAACAATGCATACTGATATGTTCAGGATCACGAGTCATGTTACATGATCATAAAAAAATCTGTATGAAAGGAAGAAAACTAAAAGATTTTACTGAAAGAGTTAATCGGTTCAACCACACTATCACCTCCGCTGCAATCTCATAAAACACAATTGTAAAAATTCTTCATTTTTATAAAACACAAACAAAAAATATAGTTTGTGTTTTAAAATTACTTCCCGTACTCATAACAACTGCCAAATTCCCCAGTTAGCAAAACACCATATCTACAGTAGTTGTACACAGAAAAGTGCATCTTTATGAAAAGAATGTGCTAAATGAAGCTTTGCTAGGAAGTTCAGTGTTACAAAGAAAACAACACATCTACATGTTCACAGTAATGTTCCATAGAAATACATATATCCAAAGGCAAAACCAGTCCTGAGAAAATAATCTCTACAAATCAACAATGGCCTGTCGTACTTCAGTGCATTGTTCATCACACAATCTCCAGTGTTTAAAACATCCTTACAATAAAAAATAAAATACATTATTTGAAAACATGGTGTCAAAAAAAGGTAAAAGACAAAAACGATGTGGCCCTGCCAACAATATCATCTTCATGGAATGAAATAAAAACAAAAATATCACAAAGCTGAAGGACAGCATACTGTGCCCTTCACATAGTTCTGGTTTTGGTATATGTTTTTTTGTTGTTTTTTTTTTTGGACGTTCGAGGGACAGTCAGACAGCACAACACCTTCACATGCAATCTGTAAGCGTATCTCACTTTTAAATCAGGTATGCCACATTACTAACAGAGCATCACTGCCAGGTTCTGGTACTGTCTGATTTAGCTCTTTATAACCATAAAAGAAGCAAGCTTTAAAAAAGCAAATCTGATTTAAGCAAGGCTCTGGCTACCATGCAATAAGTATCCATGCAGAACTCCCTATACTCTACACAATCAGATACTACTATATGAAATCCATAAGGGGACAAAAAAAACAACTCATTGTGTTCTGTCTGGACTGACCCTTCAGCTGTTCACACAAAGACATTATCTTGACGCAGATTTCTCAAAGCTACTTCAGCATCCTTCAGCATCCCCTCTGGTGGCCTTTTCTGTACATTCCCTTTAGGTTCTGCTGATAAGATGTGATGTGATTGCATTGTTTTTTGGCCCCTCTGTCGCTTTACTTCTGCTTGTCACTCTGTTTCGGGCCCCGAGGCTGTGTTTGGGTTGAGCGTTGCAGCATACATATGGTGCTCAGAGGCAGAGGTAATCATGTGGGCAACCTCTCAGCTTCATCTAGAGGGTGCAAAAGAATGAAAACAGAAGGAATGATGTTAACTCATCATCTCAGGTTACAAAAGCAAATATTGAAACTCTGCAGGAATCATGACGAAGCAGATTTCATTAAATAAATGAGTGAAGCAACTGGCTGACCTGATGGTGAGCGGGAGTTGTCCTCCCCTGCTGTGGCAAACTGTAGATCAGACCCCAAAGCAGCTATGGAGCTCCTGGGACGGATGCAGCGGTCACCTGAGTAACTCCTGCGGAGTAATGCCTAAACCCAGACATGTTACATCAGTTAGAGTCAGATATCTCCATGATGTTTACAGTGTAACGCTGTAGTAAAGTTGCAGCGTTTTCCATTTTTTAAAAGAACATTTTCAGGTTTTTAGTTTTTGTAGTTATTATATAAAACTGTCCAAATCATCTTGATTCTAATGCTACATGCAACACCTACTGTATATAAAATGATCTCTACAAGGAAAACAAGAAGTAGTTGTGATGCATCACTTGCCTTTCGTGTCATGGGGCTGGTGGGGGCGGAGGCACTGCTGTAGAGGCTGAGGCTTGAGTTGGACCTGCTGACAGTCAAACCCTTAGAAGTGCTTCCTGCAGGCGACAAGTACTTCTCTTTGATCTTCAGGTTGGTCCGACCCTTTACTGTTGGTGACACAGTGAGACAATTTCACAGAATACTGTAAAATCTGTCATACAGCCAAACTGCTTACAAAAGCCAGCAAACACACAGTATATATAGGGTTTAAATAACTATTTCAAGTTGTAAGTAAAAGTCAGCTCAGAAAAATTAAGCACTTAGATGATAGTTGTAATGTGTAATGTATGCCATTTTATAGTATCATGTACTGATCTGTCTCAGAAATATCAGCTTTTTACAAGCTAAGACATCACAGCCCTGTTGTCAGCCTTACGATAATGTGTTTTTCGGCTAAACAAGTTTTTTTGTTTTTTCACCTTAAGAAGCTGGAGAATTTTCTCCAAAACAAAAAATTCTGGCAGAAGCAACAAATATACTTCAATAGTGGAACAAAAGCACAAACAGAATGCAATATTTGAGTTGGAGCTATGTAAAATAATGTTTATAGTGTTTATCTGACATCTGTAATAACTCCATCAGTAATTCAATTCAATTTCAATTCAATTTTATTTATATAGCGCAATTCACAACATACGTCATCTCAAAGCGGCTAACATAGTAAGGTGAAGACCTTTTGAATTTTGAACCGAGAACCCCTCAATCCAAAGTTGCCTTTAGACTCCCTCTGAGCAAGTGGTTGTCAACGGTGGGAAGGAAAAAAAAAAAAGACAACCCCTAAATGTAATGTCAGCTGTAATGCAACTACTGGATTTCTATACAAATGATGTGCAAAGTGTTGTCATGCCATGTGCTTAACATCTAAGATATTACAGTTCAGAAGAGCTTCTCTTTAAAAGACAGGTGTGCTTTGTTTTGTTCAGAAAATTAGTCAGTGTCACACCTCTGCAGGGGTCATTCTTGACCAGGAACTCGTCGAGAGCGGTCCATCCTCCTCCGACCCTGACCATCAACGTGCTGCGCAGGATTCGAACCATCCGCAACTGTTGGGAATCTCCAAACTGCAGCAGACAGACAGTAAAGATATTACACCTAATATCACATGGAGTTGACAGCAATACAAGTAAAAGCATAGATATCTTCTGTCTTTTATGTATATTGGAAACAAACTAGAAATATAGATCATTCATTTCATGTGTGTCAGAGAATTTATGTATTTGAAAATGCTTGTTAATAGCTACTTTAATGTTTTTTTCTAATAAGTTCCTATAAAAATGACTCACTCTGTATCTATTGGCACTTATTTGCTCCACTTGGAACCTCTTGGGACAGTTACACTGCGATACCTGTCGACTCACCTAGGGAAGGCAAAATAATGTCACAGTGTGCCCGTAAATATCACAATAAATACACCACTCTGATGTTTTGTGTTTCCTTTTGTACAAGCTGTCCTTACCTCTTCGTTGATCTGATCGGCATCCAGCGTTTTCCTGTAGGGGTCTCTGCTGGGATGGAGGGCACTCACAAATTCATAATAGTCAATGAAGCCGTCGCTGTTCATGTCGAAGATGTTTGCCACAGCGTTCATCTCCAGAGAGTTGGTTGGAAATTCTACAGTCGAGGAGTTTCAAAGGTAAGGACATTTAAAACTTTAGCTTACAGACATTGCATACTTGAAAAAGCAAATACGGGTCATAAACAGCAGCCTTACAAACATTTACTGATAAAATAGGAATCATTGTTGGTATTAATGTGAGAAGGTAAAGCTTCAGCATTACATTATAAACCAAAATGAGTGATGCATAGATGTCAACACTGAACTGATTATTAGCTAAAGAGTCTTACTGGAAGCGAGGACATAATCGATGAATTCTTTCTGGCTGATCCGTCCATCCTGGTCCCGGTCGATGCTGCGGAACACGTCTAAGATCCGAGACTTCAAATGACTAATCCACTGTATGTAACGCTTTCGCCAAAGGTTGAAGTCGAAGTTTGCAAATTCTTCCATCTGTGTAGAAATTGATGTTCAATTGGGTTTTGTGGTGCAGCAAATTATTCCAACAATTTTTTTTTTTGCCTCCCATAATGGCAACAGAAACTGTTGACATGTTTACTGTGATATTTCAAAATGAACAATAACCTCTTTGAGCATTTGCAGGTGTTGTTCCAGACGGTTTTGTCTCGCCATCGCCAGCAGCCAAAGTTTCTGCCACTGACTGACCAGCTGACTGAGCTGTGGGGTCTGGGGGTCAAGGTGCTCCAGGGGAACCGGAACGGCAGGCTGCAGCTTCAGAGCGCTCCTCCTCTCTGGATGGAGAAGCAGTAAAATGGGAGTCATGTTGGTCTACAAGCCTTTGACTTTAATCAGAATGTAAACAATACTGTTTTCATGGTGGCTTACTTGTTAGGGGCCGTTTGCTGGGGGACACTTGGTGTTTCGGAACGCTCTTGTGTTTGCAAGATTTTGTGGCATGTTCAACATCTGTGAACTTTTTATTCAACTCCTCCATAAAGACCTGTGAAAAGGAGTGAATAAACATGACTACATATTAAAGAAAAGATACCGTAATGCTCAAACATGGTCAAAGTAAGTCTGTGTCCAGGATTGCTTCTGCTGTAGAAGAGAGAAATATCATACTGTGTGCTGATCGATAAGTTCTTGGTTCTGCTCCGTGGTGTCGGGCAGAGGCTCTTGATCTCGGAGGTTTAGGGCTTCCTCTGCTGAGGAGATCCAGTCCAGGAGTCTCTGGATTTCTTCTCTCTCCGCATCTATTGCTGCCAAGCTGGCCTGGATCTTCTGGCCCTGCTGCTGAGCCCAGGTCTGAACCTGACTCACAGGGAAGAAGGAGGGGGATCGCATTTGTCACATATCTCATACACTGACACCGTTTTACAGTAAAATACATTAGTAAAAGTGCCTTCTTATGTTAAAGGCCGTTATGGTTAAATTATTTACAACAACAGTTACCTAAACAAGAACTTCTTTTATTGTATATCCAGTCCCTGGGGGAAATGTTAATTTGTTATTAGCACCAAAATACTCACCTCCTCATAGCGAGTCTTAGTGACACTGATCCAAGATTTTAGGGTGATTATAGAGTCTGGGTGACAGCAGCCCAGGATCTCCTCACCCAGACACTGGATGTTCTCTAAGTCCACTGCCTGAGCCTGCAAGGCACCAAGTGATTCCTATGGAGGGGCAGAGAAATAATCTGTCCAGTGTTTTATTCAGTAACATGACCTATTATCTTAAAATGACTTGAATACATTTTGTTAATTCACAACATTCACCTACTTTTTTAATTTTTTTTGTGTATAACATGTGACATCTGTGCAGACAACAGTGGAGTTGCTTGATAGTCAAAGTACTCAGCATTGGGTTCGAGCGTCACCTTGTTTGACTGTCCTTGGGTCAAATGCTGAATCCTTATCAGCACCAACTTGTGGTTGCAGCAGACCCTGACCTCTAACCTCTTTAGAAGCAGATAAGATTGGGAAAAAAATATTTCCTATGGGGAGCAAAGAAGTATGATGTTATATTGACCTTGTGTTGTTTGCGGAAGGTAAGCAAGCCTTCCTCCTCCTCTGGTATGACCCCATACTTCAGTATCCTCTCTGCCTCAGTGAGCCGCTCCATGAAGGAGTGAACAAGGCCATCAAACTTCTCAGCCTAATGACAACAAAGATAAAGAGAAAAATAAGGGTTGGGGTTAGTCCTACATATCATGACTGAGTTTTCCTCATGGCCACAGCTTCCTGGAACCTGTATTTGAAAAAGGACACTTTTTTGAAACTGGATAGTGTTACATTTCTTGCTGTAAGAAACAAAAGTACTTGTCTTTTCCTTGCAAGGGAATTGACAAACTTAAATCCAGTGTGATAATGAATCTATTTAGAGACTATTTTTTTCCCCCATTAATTAGCTGTTACTAATCTATCATTGCAGAGGGTCATAGGGGACTGAAGCCTTGCTCAGCTATAACTCTTGACAGGTTGACAGTCCATCACAGGGCCCAGAGAAAACCCACACACTCACAGAAATCACGCGCAAACGCCACAAATGAAGGCAACCAGCAAGCGTAAACTCAGAACCGTCTTGCTTGTGAGGTGACATTGCTAACCTCTGCACCAACATGAGTCCCAAATAATTGACCATTTAAAAGCTCATAATACATTTAACCCTAATCAGGACTTTCATGTCATCATACATAGAAGGTCTTTTGGGGTCCACTGGAGCCCAAGAAGGTATATGTGCAAATTATTTGTTGGTATTCAATATAGACTTTTATATTATGTTAAATCAATTTTCTGATAAGTTGACGTATTTTTGGTTCCGAATGCATGACAAATGTCCCCCTTCTTTTTTTTTTATTAAAAAAATAAAATAAAATCTTAAAAAATAAAAAAGCAATACCTGTCACCTAAACTAAATGGCCTGGGGTCCAAAAGACCCCAAAAGTCCTGAATAGGGTTAAATGTATACCGATGCTTTGTCGCAGCTATTGCACATTCAGGAGAGACGAGGTCCTTTACTGTTTGCGAGCAGTACCTGCTGAAGCGCAGCCTCCAGCCTGTCCTGCTTGCTGACTGATAGCTTGCACACAGCCTCCCAGCGGCCTTCCAGTTCATCCATCTGCTCCTGCAGCCAGTGAGCGTCAGCCGTGCTGCTCCTGGTCAGATCCCTCACAGAGCGCTTCAGGGTCCTAATGCATCCGGCTCGCTTTCCCAACTCTTTCTGAAAGGCCTGAGAGAAAAAAAAAATCTTTAAAACCTGTAATACAATTTCCCTAAAGGTTTGTGAAGAAACTGCTGCACAAACATGGAAGAGAAAGTCAATGGGTAGCACTTAGCACATATCAAGAAATAATTAATAACATTACTGTAAGAAAATGAGATCAATAGTGAGAAGGTTACATTATGAGATTGCCAATTATTTCAACCATAGTAAAATTCTAGAAAATTTAGCATGAATCCGATGTCTCTATCGTAGATTTGCCACATGTGAAGAAGCTGTAAATCCTGGATTTATTTCAACCTGTAGTAAATTATTAGCGCAATTACTATCAGAGCACATTAATTTGTGTGACAGCTATACCTTGTGCTTGTCTATGAGATTGTTGACCATGTCTTTGTCTCCACCGACAGGAACATCTTCGGCTAGTTGGGGCTCTGCTCTGTACAGCCAATCGTTCAGTGCCTGCAGAGCATCAGTGAACCTTCCAGAGAACAGCAGTGCCTCCTCCAGCTTATGTTGTCTAACAGAAAAAAAAACACATACAACTCTAGGTATATTTTTAACATTACTTTTGATAAATTTGACCTTTTGAACTATTAGCTGATAGAAATCCAGGAGTGTATGTTCACATTTCTACAGTTCTTTACCTCTCCATAGACTTGCCGCTGATGGTGTCCCACGTGTCTTTGAGTTCGGCCATTAGGTTCTCCAGATGCTGTCTATCATGGCTGGTTTGAGCTCTTTCATGGAGGCTGCGACCATTCTTCAGAGTGGCCTCATACATGGGCCTCTTTGATCTCAGCAGTTTCTGGAATTCCTAATTACAAGAGTGATCAATCAGTAAATGATGCAGTGAACTATAAAGGTACTCATCAACATGGAGCATATAACTGAGTTGTATTCATTGTAATGCCCACTTCACCTTCTGTTCCGTCAGTTGTTGCTTAATCTCTTCATGGGACACTGCAATCTCTTTGTGTGTGTCTAATGTTTGTTCTACCTCCGTCATCCAGTCCACTAGGAGGCGCCAAGATTCGTTAAACTGAAATGTGAGAAATAAAGATAGATTCAATGCAAAGGTCCTTCTGAGTGACACATCCTAAGTATTTGTGTAGTTTTATATTAAAGGTGAAATATTCTAATACCTGTTTAGCATTCTTTTTAACCTCCTCTAGCATCCTGCCTCTTTCTGAAGTTCGCTGCTGCAGCTTTTTGTATCGATCCTGGACGGTCATGATCAAGTTGTGAATGACACCGCAGTCTTCCTTCCTGCTCAGCTCTGTTAGTCTGAAGCCTGTGTTCTCCACTGTAGTCTTCTTCTCACCATAAGTGTTCACCTCATTGACTAGTGTCTGTGTAGGTAAAAGTATTTAATTAGTCAAAGATAGATATTAACTACAGAACTGAAGCAGACAAAAAGCACAACTACACCAGATATATTAAAAAAAGCTTACTCTGTGATCTTGCAACTGAGTACAAACTGAGTCCAGAACAAAGCTTGGAGCAGGAAGAAGCCCAATGGACTCTTCACACTTGGTCATCTTAGTGAGAATGTCCTGGACGCTACTGTGGAACTCCTTGGCCAGACTCAGTCCCTCTGTAAGCTTAGCCTGCAGGACAAGCATGACACACAGATGCACTGTAATCATTCACTTTTATTTATGAAAAACAAGCATGTACTGAAAGCAAAGTCAGTTGAGATAGCAGGATAGCTGTGTGAAGTTGAATCACCTTTCTCTCCTGGACTTTGTTGTACACAGATGCCCATTTCTGCTCAAGGATGGATAAGCTGTGTTCAGTGCTTGATCCTCGGACAACGTTGCTGCTCTCCAGCATCCTGTAAATGGCATTCTTCACATCTGTGTAGGCATGGAGCTTTGACTCCATCTCATTGCACAACTCCTGTTGTGGGTTAGAGGAGTCCAGAAAATTATTATAAAAATCATTATTTTCACATGAGAACAAATGCTTATTTATTTATTTTTTATTCTTATATCTGCATGTTTTTTTTCTGTTAAAAGTCTAACTAGTCTCACCAAGTGTGCGTTAAGCCTTTCATTTGCAGAGTCTGGCATGCCCCACATGGTTTTGGAGGAGGACAGTCTCAGGTCTGTGTTCTCCAGCCACTGTAAAAGATCTTGAATCTCCATTGTAACATCTTGTACCTGTAAGAAAACAATAAATACAATAAATAAAAACATGCAGTGGATTAAAATACTTTATGACAAAAAGTCACATATTTAATCTCATGATTCCTAATTTCTTGCTATTTAGAGAGTCACCACAAGAGGGCACCATCACACACTGAAACAAAACAAGACTGTGTTCTGATATTAGCTGCATCCCTTTTTGTCAACAGTCTAATGGTTATATACTATACATAGATAGGTAACTATTAATCCACACTACCTTATGATATTTGCAAAAAAAAAACAAAAAAACAATTAAATTCCGAATATAATAAAGATTTTGTTTTTGTCCTTTACCTGACTCAGTCTGTTCTCTAATTCCAGTTGCCTGCGTTCAGTTTCACAGCGAACAAACTCCCAGCTTTCATTGAGATGCTCCAAGCGAGACTGCAGACCATGTGGACTGTCTCCAGACCCAACCTCCAGCAGCCCCCTGCCTGCCTGGTTGAGGGACTCCATCGTACGAACATGGGACATGACATCATTTCGCAGCACCTTGGAGAAGGCAGAAGCAATGGAGGTTAAACATTTATAATGGCATGTCAAAACGATTCCAGCAAAAAATTCTAGCAGGATACAAAGTATACAGTTAACGACAGGTGCAATCTCTGGAAGAAACACTTTAAGGAGACAAAAGAGGAGGTTACTCATTCAAAGCAAAGCTTTCAGTCTTATGTAGACCCTATCTATGACAGTGTAGCCCCACTGATGGGCTTGTTTTGAAATGTTAATCACTCTTTATATTATTGTAATCAAGCCACTGCCAACCTTGTGTTTGGCCAGCTCTATTTCACAGGCCTGAAGGTCAATGCTGATTGGCTGGCTGCCCTGCAGTTGTTCAGCGGTCCGGGAAAGCCATGTGTGCAGCTCATCTAGCGTGTTTTGGAACTGACCCAGGCCCAGCAGAGCGCACTCCAACTGATGCTGCAAACATGATGAGTGGATAGAAGGGTTTCAGGTGATATAGCATTACTACAGGATTTAAAAAAAAAAAAAAAAAGGAACTACAAACAAAAAATATATGTTTTGTTTTGTAATCAGGCTGTCTTGCAATTGCTAATACTGTAGTATTATGCATACAGTGGATGGTTGTGACATATTGGCAATAATACTACATCAGAGTGTCTGCTTTAATTATCTCACCTGTCTGCTGACAGTCTCTGACTCCAGACTGTCCCAGCGATGTCTGAAGTCGCACAACGGTGACACTGAGCCTGGACGCTCTGATCCTGGAGACAGCCGACACACAAAGCGATGGTTCAGGCTTTCTATCTCGATCTTCTTCTGGTAAAGTTCCCGCTTAAATTCCTGAAATAAGGAATGAAGGGTGAACATGTATTAGACTCAGTAAGCTACTTTTACTGGGCAAAGTTGCTCAGTTGAGTTTGCCTTAGTGCAGGCTGTCAGGGTACTTTAGTGTATCAACTCACCTTTAGATCACATAGTTGCTCTTTGACTGATTCCAGGTCAGCTCCTACCATAAACTCCTCTGTAGACCTCAACTCAGCTGACTTCAACCACTCAAACAGTCCCTATTAGTAAGGCAGGAGCAAAATATGCATTTAAAAAAATGGTATATAATATATAATGGCATACAGAGCTGATCTATTTCATGTCGAAAATACATTCTCCCACAGTTACACTATCTAACTCATTTGCATTTATAAGACGACCACACAGTCTGTCATTCAATGACACAACAGGAAAAGCTACAGGGAATCTGAACTTTGTTAGTGCAACAGAATAAAAGATTCGTTGTGCTTTTGGCAGGGTGCCAAAACACCGCTTGAGTCAGGCAGCTTTAGCCAAAGTGACTGTTGTGCTATGGCTAAAATACTGATAATGGAATGGTCTGTTAGTATACAGGTATGGATGTACATATAAATTATATATAAAAGTATGCATTGGATTTCGACACACACCTGCATGGTGTCCTGGTAATGCAGTGCCATCTGCAAGGACTCCTCCAACTTTTTGTGACATTCATTCCACAGTTTGCTCAAGTTGTTCCATGTGCAGTAGAGCTTTAAGAGAGCAAAAATACAAGGTTTTATGTTAGTTAGTTAGTTAGTAAAACATAAGTCAAAAACTATTTAAAAAAAAAAAAAAAAAAACTTACTTCATCCAGACTCTTAGTAACGTCTGGTTTGTCTGTATCCCCACATGCTGACATCAAGTCCATTCCCAGAACACCAAGGGTGTCCAGATCTCCCTGCAAACTGTCTATGTCCTCCCTGAGAGTCTGTAAGTTGAAACGATGGAAAGGGTAATATAGTCTTTATTTATGCCTTGTTTATGCTCTCTAAAACAATATGGGTTCTTTATGCCTGCTTTCGAACATACCTGCATGGTTTCAAGGCTCTGGCGAATTGTTTCAGAGTCTGTCCGACTTGCATTGAGATCCAAAACTGCCTGCTGAGCATCATTAAGAGCAGTGGAGACATCGCTGACATCACTCCAGAACTTCATGGCGAGATCCAAGAGCTTGAGCAACCAGCTTTCCCTCTCCTGGGCCTGGTTATGTGTCTCATCCCACAGCAGAGACAGGCTGGACACTCTCTCCTGAATTGCTGGGATTACAATGATATAGCAAGAATATTGCTTGAAAATTTAAAAAAGCCCACAATATATGGCATTGTCACTTCCATGTGAAGTGGAACAGTGTCTGGGGAGATGATCACCTGTGCCGATGGATCCATCCCCAGCTGCCTGAGTGTTGGCCAGCAGTTCATCTGCCTGTGTTTTGACACTGCTGAGACCCAGCTCCAGCTTGGACAACTCAGTTAGGGTTTGCTTGTTGTCCTGCAGCTGCTCCTGGATCCTCGGGGTGAGACCTTGAAGTGAGGTGGGCGTCTGTATGCGACTGCGAAGGCGATCAAGACTCTCTTTGATAAGAGTCATCCTCTCATTTAACTAGAGGATAAAGAAAAGATATGAAATCGTGTACATGTAACACACAAACTGGTGGGCTCATTATACGAGTATCCTTACCTGCGTAAATCGAGGCAAGGACTCTTCGAGTAGATTGGCAGTCTCTCTGACCCGGTCTCTGATGGCTCTGTGCTGCTCCTCGGCCTCTGTTGCCTTGCGACAGAACTGGTCCCCCTGAACTGGGTTTAGTTCTGACAAACGTTTTGCCAGAGAGCATAAGCGTGCAATCAAAGGCTTGTGTTCTGCTATAGACTCCCTCAGACCCTTAGCAAGAAGAGAGAGAGAAAAAAAGTTTTATTAACAGTGTAGTTCGCAGAAAGAACTTGATTTGAGTATAAAACTGGTAGAGGAAGGCTGTTTCACTTTCCCGTGGTATACCTGACAAAACAGAAATGCCCTTATACTACACTGGTAGAAGAATAACCCTGTCTTGAAGTAGATTACACCAATGAACTGCGCTTGAACAGATCAGCTCATTTACCCAGAGGAAAATAGTGGCACATTGTGAAGTATAAAAGGATGTCTTTGTTGACCAGGACAAAAAGGGATGAAGGGGAAAAAATGCAAAAAAAAAAAAACAAGCACTCTAATGTCTCACAGACCGGTTTCTCCTACCTGTAAGAGGTCCTGTTGTTCCCGAAATGCTTCATAGCTAATTGTGCTCAGGGAGAGCTGACCAATGAGAGTCTGAGTTTCTGCAAGCCAAGGTGAAACCTCGGCAAGGCCTTCAGAGAACTGAAGAAGAAGCGACTGGGCGTGTTCAAGCTGCAGGACCACGTGGGCATTTGTGGCTGAGGTGGTGTTGCAATGTTCCTGTAAGGCATCTATTGGTGTCTGCATGGAGATGTTACAGTGAAGAAAAAAAAATGGAACCACTTAGTTGTACAATTGTTAATCATTGTCTGAACAACATCAATAAAATGATGTCATGAACTGCAGTGAAAAGCATACCCGGAGATCGCTGGTTTCTCCTTCATCGCTGTATGTCATCAAGATTTCAGCAATCTTCACCATCTTCTCAATGTTGAACCTGTGTTGCAGAATCTCCACTGCTAAGATCTATTCAGGAGATAGTACATCAAAAATAAATGTACATACAAAACACTCCTGTGATGAATTTGTAAAACTACATATCCGTCATATATTGTATGTAACACAGTATGAAGTATTTAGAATTCAAAGCAAGAAAATATTTAATTTGTTATTCTTGTAATGTTCTAACCTTCTGTTCGTAGAGTTGCTCTGCTATGTGTTCTGGCTCCAGATTTATGGTTTTCAGCTTTTCAAGACCAAGCGCCGTGTCTTTGAACCAAGCCATCTCCTTTACCACTGCCTGCTCCAGCTGAGAATACACATAAAAACAGTTTGTTAACACATCAGCAGTATCATTATCATTTAAACATGTCTGCCAACAGCATAGAGCAAAATGAAGCTTTTTTGTTGTTGTTTATTTTAAATATAACATTTTTATTACAATACAAAAGACAAAAACTAAAAACAAACAAACCAACAATCAAAAGAAAAAAACTATGTAACCAGGCACTGTATGATAAAAAAGTATATCAATAAAACAGGGATAGGAATACCTTTTTAAATAAAAGTATATTAATTAAAGAAAAATCATGTGTTTAGTTAAAACGTAATCTAGAAAATTATATAATTGTAATGGCAGATGCAAAGTTACTGTTTACATCTTATACCTAATATTTGCATTAGAAGGCCTAATTTTTAGGCTAACTGTTACTTTTTCTTGTCATATTGGGAAAAACACATTCATTAATGAGGGTTTTGACCTGGGGTTGACATCATTACACACACCTGTGTCTTCCCTGCAGTTATATTCTGAATCTGCTGTAACACAAGGTGTTAGATGCTACAACAGAGGCAGGCACCACATGGAGGTCCTTTGAGTTAGCTGGTAAATATGGATACCTAGCTAAATGAAAATGATCTGTAGGCTTAACCAACATTGTAATGTCTAGTGTGAACTCATTTAGCTTAGCTGTCATATAACTCTGAAATCAACCTTGCTAGCTTGAGGTTAATGTAAAACAAATTTTCCACACTGCTGTCACAGCTAATTCACCAGTTTAGCTGACCTCATTGTTCTTAAGCATTAAAAAGGAAGGCAATGAAACGTATTCCAATCTATGTTTGCTCTGGTGAATTATTACTTTGTTACATGTAAGCGCTAGCTGGCATGCTAATTAGCAAGCTAACTTTTGCCTTTCTTCTTTTTTTTAATGAAGGTGAGTTTCTTCATGCTAAGTAAATGTGCAAACTTGAACCCGGCTAGCAACTTATTAAAACTTATTTTTTGCTAAGCATTTCTTGGCCTTTCTAAAAAATTATAATTCACTTTTTGCTCTCACAGCAAATTAACATAACTGTCACTATGCAACGGAGGAAAAAAGTTAGAGAAAGAAAATATTTCACTGGAAATCTGTGGGGGAAAAAACAGGCAAACTGTCCCATATTCCTGATCTTAGCTCCGTCAAATGTAAGTCGCTAAGGTGTCTCCTGTAACACCTGCAAATTAAGGACCAATTCATGTTTTCCACATCCATGTATGCACAAGGTTCTACTATGGTAGGCACACGTCAGCCCACAACACAAACGGTCACATTGCCCATCACAAAATCAAACAGAGAAACACACAAGGCTCCCATGGTTGTTTCTGAAACGTTGGCTCTGACTTCACACTTTTGTCAAGATAACAGCTAGTCACAGGTTGTAGCACCATATGCCAATGTCCTCGCACAACCTCTGCTCAAAACAAGCATTTGTTTTGAGTAACAATGTGTTTTTGTGGTGCATGTTCAGGTCAGACAGTACACACGGTAACAAATTCTGGGTTGCACACATAAGTCAACAGCTGGGTCTGGCAGATCGCTACGAACTTGAATGGGAGACGAAATTTAAGTCATCAGTACCCTTGCAAAGGCAGATTAAGAAAAGTATAAATTAGCCTTAAGTAGGTAATGTAACCAGATTTTTTCAACCTCGTGACCTCTGGGGAACTCTGCACTATTCAACCAGTCTTTCATCCATTTGCTGGATGAGGTTACTAAGTGTAGCCATCAGGTGGGGTGTTCCTGTCTACAACCTCATATCATCTGACTGGTTCACTTTAGTATTGAGTGAGAATATTACCCTCTGTCTCTCAGCTGCACACAGAACTGCATCTCCAGCATGTGTCTGTGCTCCTGCCGCCCCCAAGAGTTCTCTCTCGATACGGCTCAGCCACAGGTGGAGGTCTTCCTGGCTCGAGGTACAACGACTGGAGGCCTCAAGAGCCTGCTCCAGCCTCTGCAGCACATCCAGACTGCTCAGACTCAGCACAGAGCAACGGATGCGCAGAGCGTCCATCTTCTCCTGTACCAGCTGGGCCTCTTCCTCTGGAATGAAGGACAAATCACATTTCATAGGGTAAGACTAATATAATGGTCCGATTTGCAGCTGTTTATGGTTGATATTGATAACATCAAAATTGTGTTTTTTATTTTGGGTAGAATTGACAAGTAATACCAGACATTTGTAAGATAGCAGCTATCTGCATTTTTTGCACATAAACTTTGCATGTGCTAAGATACTATTTCACATTTACAGAGAAGTGATGTGCTGTAGTCACTTGCACAATTACAAAACACAAAAACTGGTGTCCAAATTGCTCTTAAACACTCACAAACACAGTGACTATTGTGCTCATTTACACTATTCGGTAAACAGTACCTGAAACTGCTTCCATTAGATCGTGACCTGACTTCTGTATTCCCCCTAGTTCAGCAGTTTTTACTTGAATCTCTTCAACAACAGCCTGAAAGAAAAAAAAATGGATCAAAAGTATGTTTCTCTACTCAAACAACATTTATTCTGCATTTTAGTCCAGATTTACTGTACATGTGTTAGAACCAAACATGGTATATTTCTGACCTTGGCTCGATCTGTTGCCTCTGAGAGATGCAGCATCACTCTCTCCGCATTTCGTAGTTCAGCTAGGGTCTGCTCCACAGATATGAGCCATTGCTGCAAGCTGTCTACTCCCTCCTGGAATAGCTGGGCCCTGGGCAGAATGAGCTCCAGACTTGCCCTCCTACCAAAGTTTCCATAATCACTGAGTAAGTTTTGTAAGTAATTTGTAAGTGAGTACGACATGCATTAGGCCACAAAGAGTGTGGCATTGCCACTAAAAGAAGCTGACCTCTGCTCTGCCTCCAGCTGTAAGGCCTCCCACTTCTGTTCGAGAGCAGAGAGCTTGACCTTTGCCTGCTCCCCCGGCTCTCCTGGGTGGGCCTCCACCAGCCGAGGACCCTCCGACATCATGGAGTTCATACTACGCCTTCGGTCTGTTAGGAGGCGCTGCAAGAGCTGTGAAACAACAGAACATGCTCAGGTAAAGCTATACTTCAAGGAACCAAAAAAATAGTACAGATGGTACAGTACAGAAAATGTATACTTTATATTTGAGGTTTAGACTCCAAAAAGAGATGTAAGAACAAAGAGTTAATATTTATCAAAGCCCTATTCTTGTTTTTTAGCTTGCTTTTGTGTCAGTGGGAAGGACGCTCCGTCTCATGTGTCAAGCTTACATTGTGAAGAACCAGGCAGGTTTCACGTCACCCAAAGACCTCACAATGGGTGTGAATGCAGCTGAAAGGTGAGAGACTTCCCTGCTTTTTTTCATACCCTCAGGACATGTTCACAAAGACTTACTGAAGCTCATTGTGGCTATGAGCACCACCCATTCACCACTGGATAAAGAAGAATTTATCTTATAAAGGAAGCAGTTGAGCATTTTCCATGACCTCTAGACACCTTTCTATAGGTAACGCTTTCAGATGTATTCTGTCTACTATAGAACCTAAGGGATGTTTTTTGGAACAAGAAATTAGGTGACGTGATGTTGCAGATAACAAACCTTTTGTTCTTGGAGCTGTGCTTTCACCACTTTGACCTCTGATGACGGAGGTTTCTGACTGGCTGTGAGCTCTTCTATCTCGCTGACCCATGTGAGCAAAGCTTCAAGGTTTTGGAGAAATGTTTCAGAATCTGTCGACACATCCCTCAGTGCCAAAGCAGATCTTGCCTTGAGAAAGACCACATAGCATCAGCTGATGAATTAATGAAAATAGGAAAATGATTTTAGGAGAAACATGGTCATCTCAACTGCGTTAACATACGAACAAAGGGTTGAGGGTAAAACATACCCCCCATTTATCCAGGCAGGAATCTTGGTCTGAGCTAGAATGTCCATCACTTTGGAGCTGCAAAGTAAAGACAGTCCATACATTGTGTCAATCTATAAAATCGCAGTTTAAAAACACCCACCATCATATGATAAAGACAAAGTATTGCTGACAGACATCAGGGTGAGAATTCAAAAATGCAATGAAAGATTGAAATGAAAGACATGAGATATGTTATGTTGGAAAGTTGGTGTTTTTATCAACCTCAGCAAGTTCCTCTGCGACCCCATTCAGGACTCTAACAGTTCTGGTGACTATGGGGTTCCCTCCTTTATCTCCCGATGGATATTCTGTCACTTCCACAATTTCTGTTACGGTTGTCTCTGTCACCTCTGTCACTTCTGTGACCTCACGTGATGCCACAGTCTTCCAGGACCAGGGGCTTCCTTCTCTAGAGTCTCTCCTCTGGAAGCTGGCCCTCCTCTCTGCAGCACTCTTGTCTGGCTGAGCCAGGGGGGACCGAGCAAACTCTGGAGGTACTGTCCTCCTTGTTAGTGTCCCATTTCGGGATGTTTTTATTGGAGAAGGGCTGCTGTGCCAGGCATTTTCCAGAGTACTGGTACTCCTGATTGTTGAGGCAGGAGAGCTGTGGAGCGGTTTATCCGAAATAGGAGTATGAGTCCCCTGTTCCGTCTCACGATCAATTTCTTCTGCTTCCTTGTCCCTCTCAACCTCTTTTTCCTTGTTCGTATCGTCGGTAGCTTTGTCTTTGAAGGCCTCTTCTCTTTTGGCCTCTCCATGTTGCTCTGGAACCTGCCACTCTCTTCGTCGTTGGTAGCACTCTTTTAGGAAGTCCTCATCTGACCTCACATGTTTGGACTTCTGGCCCAGGCAGCTGGGCCGGCTGATGAGGTTACCCATAATCCTTCAGCCCATAGGCTAGTGAGGTAACAGGTGAGGTAAGGCCCCTTGGCCATACATGCAGAAGATCCTTCAGCTACCTAAAATAAGACAAGGGGGCTCTGGGTCATCATGCAATGAACAATTTTGTAAATCAACAACATTGTACCTCTGTTGTTCTTTCAATAAAAGCACAGCTTCTCCGTTTACAAGTCACCAACTCCTTGCCACCGGCTACATCTCCAGAAAACTGCTATTCGACAAAGTGAAACTAGCCTCTCACATCCTTTATTTGCTAAATTTCTGTGCCAGCATTGCCCTGTTCTTGGCAGCGAAGGCCAAGAGGGAACCACAGCGGAGATACTTGGCGAGGATATTCCCCATCCTTTTGTCTTTCGTTCGACCACATACACACATGCTCCCCTCTATCTCACATCACCAACTAACATATTCTGGGCTTAGAAATCAATGTGACAGGCTTGTCGAGGATCCCACTGTTCAGCCTGGCATGGAAAAACCCGTGGCAACCAGCCAGCGCTTTCTGTAACTCACCCTGGACCAGTCCTGGGAAACCCGTGAAGGATCTGATCAAATATGACAGCCATAAAAAAGCAGACATTGCCGCATTTCTCTACAGTGTCAACAACACTGGGGTTGGGGGTGGGGTTAGGAAAACAGGCAACAGTCAGTAGCATATCTTATCGTGTGAAGTATTACAATATTAGCACTTTAGACAAAGAAGTGTTTTTCCATAAAGGTCACACACTTGAGTAGGACACCTGTCTTTCTCTTGTTACTACATACTATTAATTCATTTTGAATATAACAAGTTATTGCATCAAAATTAGTACACTACTGAAGAAAAACAAAAAGTCATTGGCAGTGACAACTTCAAACTGCGGCAGCCTGTCTGTTTCCCCCCTCAGCCCAGTGAATTCATTGTTTTGACAGAGGGGTTAGAGGTGAATGTAATTATCTTGGTCTAGAGGAGCTGAGGTGAGCCCATCAGGAGATCACAGGGAGGGTTCCTGTTGAGCCCCAGTCCACCCTCTGAGTCAGGGCTGGACTGGTTCATTCAGAATTATCCAGGTCACCTCAGGTCATGCTTGGTGACTAAAGATCCATAGGGGGGGCAATATGGGTCACGAAAGGGGAAAGATTTTTGTCTGGCTTGAAAAAAAAAACAGAAGTGGCAGCTGTACAGTGATCCGTGGAAACGTTTACATGCTACTGTCAGGCTCGAGGCAGACTAAATTATGCTGAATATGCAGTTTTCATAGCTTTCATATCTAGACAAAGAAATTCTGCAGCCAGGGAGAACTTCACGTGCTACTATCAAATATCCAGCCCAAATTTAAATTAAATCTCATTAGAGTATATAAATAAGAAGCTAATTATAATTCTAATTTACTGTATGAAGGCTTTTAACTAAATGAATAAATGTGACCTACTTTGATATGATGCCTCCATGTGCATTAGGCTAGTAATTACCTACCTCATGCATGTCTCTGTTGAGCAGATGATGCAGTCAAGGGGCTCCACAGGGGAGTACACAGTCTGATCAGAGTGGTGCCTAGACAAAGCCCCGGCCTCGAGATCAATGATTACTCAGTTAGCTCAGATCACTGCCCAGCGGTCTCCCGAGGAGGCCGGTGAGTGTCTGTGGCCGTGTCCACATGGGTTAACAATTCGAGGGAGAGGGTGTGTCGTGTCTGGTTACTGCGCCACATGTGTGGTCATTTCCTAAATTACATGGTTGCTTTTACAGTGATCTCACAGCACAGTGTGTGAGGACACGGTGAGTAGTTTCATCTCGTTACACTAACAGTAAGATGCTATTTAAAATAAATACGCAAATGTGTTTTCTTTGCCATTATGTTGACTAGACAGGGCCACTCAGACATTGATATATACAAGTGGCAATAAAAGGGGAAATCAATCATTTTATAGGCGGGATTTTGGCCTTCACATGAAGGCTATAACAGTACGGTGACCTACATTATTCTACAACGAAAGCAAACCAGAAAAACCCTATCAGCGTGCCTCAAGCCTGTATCTGGTGTACACCTCTCAGTTTGTAGCCCAGTTATACTAGAAAGCGAACCAGAAAACCACTCCACTATTTAACTCATATTGCGGATGACCTAACCATCCCATCACTTAACCTACTTTGAAATGGCCCTTAATTCAGACCAGCCCTTTCTCTGCTCTCAACTGTGATTTATGATACATGACCGCAGTCCATTTCCTAATGAATTTGATTATAAGCATCGTATAGGGGCTTCGCCAAGGCAAAAGAAATATGAAATTAAAAATCCTAATGTTATGGTCTGGAACAAAGTACATCAATTTTACATTTAATACCTATTTTTTATCTATTTCTCAGTGTAGAAGACACATATGCATACGTAAAAGCATTTTGAGCAAACAACATGCCGTACAAATAGTCTTACGTCGTAATTTTCAATTTAGAAGGTAGAAGAAGGTCTGCCTGGGTGGATTTGCAATTAGTAGCAGAACCATAATCATCAATCACAACAGTAAGATGTTGTGTCACTGCTGTGTGTCGGTGTCTGTTAAGGGAGGTCCTGAAGTAGTAATCATTGTAGTGGTCCCTAATCAAGGATGGCAGCTGTGCATTCACCCATGAGACTCATAACATTTTAGGGTGGATATTGTACAAGGTCACACGTTCATCTCAAACGTTGTCCTCTAAATAGGCAACATGAAGCTACTGGATAAAATAAAATGTAAGCCAGGTTATGGCAAAGTGAGTAGGGCAGTGTCTTATCAGGTATTTTAACTGTTAATACAGGAAACAAAATACAGCTACAGTATTGAACTAAATTAAAGATACTCACATTAGATTGTTCCATTCACACTGATGTTGTTTCAACTGGAATATTTCATTGGCTGTTGAGCTTGTTTTATACACGTAGTTAGAGTAAATGTAGAAAATCCAAATTTAAGTCACTGTCACATGGCTCTACTATTTAATCACTGACCAGCAAAGTCCAAAACCCAACTGTCTGTCGGCCAATCCTGAGTTGGTGGCAGTTTTGGCGGTTTGAAGCTTGCGTGAATTACACTTACCCTGGAGCAGAGTTGGGCCCAACAGCATGAGTAAAGGAATCCAGCTAGTCCTCAATCACCATTCAAAAAGGAGAGAGAAAAAAAAAATCCAGCTTTGTTTGAGCATCCTTTGAACGGCCTCCCAACTCCAACATCCCAAACTGAAGGCTCCTCACAAACATGCATACTCCCTCCTACGCACACTCAATCAAGTCCACTCATTCACACATGCTCGCATACAAACACACTTTCTAAACACACTCACACATGCCCTGATAACTCATGCTTTTCCGTTGCCCACAGTCACAGGCAAACAATGTCCTCCTCTCCCCTCACAGTGCACCCTTCCCCTCCCCTCCCCTCCCTTCACTTCACTTCTCCTCCCACCAGCTCTGCTCCTCTCCCTTTCTTCTTTGTTGTGGGAGCTGCGATAGAGGAATTCCTTCCTTGTTAACGCCGCCGATGGGATAGTGCGCCCAGATGGAGACAATGTATTCCAACGGCTCAGTTGAACTCCCACAGTTCCCAGCCAAGAGCAGTTTTCACATGGAGGTCAGATTGTGCCAGTTCCATATAACGACACGGCGGTGGCATTCTCACCAGCGCTGCTGCTGCTCAGGTTGCTCCTGTACCAGGCAGCTAGGCGGCAAAGTGCCCCCTTTACCTTCCTCAGGCTTTTTCTCGCTCACTCTCTCCCCCTACTCATTCAACAAAGCCCCTCCTCTGGGCTTGACTGTGGCTCAGAAACTCCATGCTGCTTCTGCTTGAAAAATGGGGTGGGGGGCAAAAAAAAGGAGAGTTTTCTAAAGACCCCTGGGCCGCCCTCGAAACATTCACATGTTAAGTGACAGCTGCCTCAGCCCATTCCCTCTCTCGACGGCGAGGGAGAGAAGTGCAGGCTACAAAAGGAGGGACCCACACCCACCCTGCTACCCACCCACTTACACATTCACCCCCAACCCCCTTGCAGTCCCTGATTCCCCATTCAGAGTCAGTGCAGCAGTCTCCACAGCAGCCACAAAGACGACTAATTACTGTAAAACATCTCAGATTACTTTTCAACTCACTTCAAGCCACTGCAACCCCATCCCATAAACAAGGAGGCTGGAAGCAAACACAAATAGAGAGCAATGGGAAGATAATGCAGAGTCTTTTCTATGCTTTTTGGCAGAGGAAAGCAAAGGAAGGACCCCTATGGTGAAATTCTATCATGCCCTATTTAAATAAGTCACAATATTTGCCTTAGAATTGCAATACAGCAAGCATACTGTATGCCAACACTATTACACAGACATCTTCTCGGACTTCCTGGTGTTTCAACTGAACCATGTGAACTTTGTTTGCTATAGTTCAAGTATTTATATAGACTTTTGAATAAAGTCATTAGAAATCTCTCGCTGGAACTGACATAGTGTGCAGGTGCACTATAAACCAAGATAAGCATGCATACAGGTGATTGCCTCATAAAGAATATTTACAACCCAAATCCTACCCTCTTTAGTCTTTCCTTCTGTCTTTGTCCAGCCAACCAAATAATCAACCAATTGACTGATCCACCAAATGCACGCATGCATGTACAGTACACACCCACACACACTCTTTCTCTCTCACGCTGTCTTAGCAGTAAGCATGCACACTCATATGCATACAGATACCCGCCACTCAGCCTCCTCCCTGATTCACGGCAGCATCTGTCTGTGTGTTACAATTATCAAACACATTTTACGTCAACACATGCATAATGTTCACATCTTAAGTTAAAAAATATAAAATAAATAAAAATTCCTGTATTTAAATTCTCATCCAGTGCAATCAGAAATGACACAGTAGGGATGATCATGTGCCTTTCTGCTTTGCATTCCACTGAGCAAGTACATATATCATCTCACAACATATCATATAATCAATACCACTCTCTTGAGTGTAAAGTGCATACTGTGTTACATGTGAGTGGAAGTGTCTTAGAACCTGTCAATGCAAACTTAGTTTATAAAGCACGAGGTGTGTGCTGAGTCCTGATTTATCTGGTTTGAGTCACAGGATCACTGTGTAACTCCATTAACAGAGTTACAAGTCCACTGTAATTTACAATAGCTCCATGAAAGGTGTGTGCCTTTAAAAATGAAACACAGTGTTCAATCAAAGATGACAGTTTTGTTTCTGAACTAGATTGGTCAAAACATTTTGTATGTGTACACAAGACACTGGTTGCAACTTTGAGTCACTAAACAAGTCTGTAGCATATTACAACTGTCAAGCTGTACGTTTATGAGCAGATTACCACTTTGTGACAATTTTTGCTAAATGCTAACATATGCCAACAATATTTAGCAGGTTCACCATCTTAGTTTAGTCTTCAGTTAGCATGATAATAATATGTGTGCTAACCAACATATAGTACAACTAGTTGGGAATGTCACTAGTTTTGCAGATTCTGCATCTGTTCATCCAACTTTGATCACATCTAGTACAAAGTCAGTAAAATATTTGTTTTGAGGATTTCATTTCACCATGTAATTATTGAGATATTTCACCTAAAAAAACAAGGATCTAACCTAATGGGGCTTTAGAGTAAAACTCAGAGGATCATCAGAGTCATTAGGATTCATCTCATGAAAAAGGGATCATAAACATCTGTAGAAGATTTTAGGCTAAACATAGAAAAATGTGTTGTGAGACTTCATTCTGGCCTAGAGTAGTTGACAGACAGACCAAACTTGCCATTCAAGGCTATCCTATGTTGACAGTATTGCTAGAAATTATATAATGTGAAATTGCACTTTTCTCAGTCTGTTGAAGGAGGATATGATGAGCAGCATCATCAGCTTTAATTAGTAGAAGTACTGTGTGCCTGAAGATTTGTTATAAACTCACTTTATGACTGCTAACATGGTAGTATTCCTGCATTTTCCCTGCAGTTTATTTTCTTGTAAAAGTCTTTTTTTTTGTTACTGTCTTGTCTTTAATAGCACCTAAGTCGCTCTTTAATAATGACCCCTAAAGACTCTGGTAGTGATAAAAATAGGCTGTTAAATGTGCTGTAAAGCTGCTTCAGGTTAGCAGAGCGATCCTCAGCTCCTACATTACTGCCCCATTTCTAACCCTCGACCCTCCTACCGCCTCAATTTATGCAAATGGTGATAAAAAAATAACAAAGGCAGACGAAAAAGAAAACTGAAAATGCCTGTCACTGTGGCCAGCGAAAGAGTGAGTAAATTGAATAGAATGACCCCTGTCGGGTCAAGTTATTTAACCCCTGAGTACTTCAGCGCTTATGCAAGAGTTCCCAGGTCTCATCCACAAAAGACGTCCTGTATCTCACAATCCTGGAAAAGTACAGAAAAAAACAAGCAATCATTTAAAATCTTTAGTGAAAAATTTCAGACAGCTCCACAGTAAAAGATGCACAAGCTCACTGATAGCTGTTTCTTTGGTTCACTTGGAAAGCTTATGTCTTTAGCTGTTTAATGAGAAAGTACGGCCCACATTCCCTGCCCACCCTTTCTTTATCTGAAAAGGAGCTGGCAGTGATGAGGCACCGCTTTGCCAGGAAGAAATTGTTGTAAAACCATGACACCTGATCCTTGCATTCGGCATCCTCCAGCCCCCTCTGTACTAATTAAATGCAGTGCCAAAAATCTCTCCTCTCCATTTCACAGTAGGTGCACACTGAGCATTCACATAGTTCTCAATAAGAAAGCTGATGTGGTTGAGAGTAACCTGGCACGCTGAGCTATGCACTGATGCAATAAGCTGTTATTGTGGTAAGATTGGTAGCTAGTGAAATCAGCTCATTTTTTCCTTTATTGTCCTTCCAAAACAGATATGATAATGGAGTGGACACAGGTATGGAAATGGAATAAAGCGAGGGTCCAAATTAATGTAATTCCAAATGAATGGGGGCCCAAATTTGATTACAGATCCCATGTGCCAAAGGACTACAAAGAAAAAAAAAAAGAAAGAAATTAATTTTACAGGCTTGTTTTCCCCCTCCTCCGCTATCACAACCTCTCTGGTACCTTCAAATTAAATAAGACCTCAATGGCTCCTCTACAGAACATGGTAATTAGCCCTCTTCACGAGAAATGAAAAAAAGAGGGGGTCCCTTTTAAGGGTCAAACTAGAAGCACCATTCAGCATGCACACTGTCATTTATCACCAAAAGAGGTTGCTTCCAAGAAAAGTGGATGAAAGGCTAATGGGCTTCCCTACTGGGTTGCTTGGGCCCTGCTGGGCTGCCTGGATACTGGAAATCACAGTCATGGGTGAGAGGAGGATTTAGCCACTTGGGGATGGAGGAGTTCAACCACATCATCAGCTCCCCCTTTGATTCAGTTGCTCCCAGGAAGTGAGGATTTACAGCCATAAGTCCACATTTTCTACAGAGGACGGTAAAGCATGGGCCATAAAAGGAGAGGCCCCATACTGCCATTAACCCTGATAAAGTGTGTGAATAAAAGATTAAAAAAAAAAAACTCTTATGGGAGAGATTACTTGAAGTGCTATAATGTGAAAATTAATTTGCCACACCAACTGAAAGAAAAACAGTCATTTAGATATAAGGTTTAATCCCAACTTGAGTCGGAATTAACAAGTTTACTTTTCTGCCATTATTCGTTTGACTTGTGGGTTATTCCCAGCAATGAAAACAAGCCCCTTTCCCCTGAAGGTTATGGCAGCGCCAGAGAGCAGGGATGCTGTTTGCTGGCTGTCACAGACAGAGAGAAGAAGATAATAGGCTGTGATCTCTCACCCCTCTTCCTGGCCCTGTTTGGAAGTTGTGTGTACAGGGCTTATTTGGGATGCAGCATCTGCCACAGGCTGAGGGAAACCAGAGACCTTTAAAACACAGAGAGGCTTTATCCAGAGGATCCTCATCAGCAGGGGAGGGAGGGTGAACAGAGAGAACTTTTGACCTTAACCTGGCTGCCAAAGTGAAGAGATGTCATTTTGACTGGTCTGTGACATTTTGTTTTGCAGCGTAAAAAGAAATTGTTATCAAAAGACATCCTATTACCCCCTTATGTACACTCTGTCTCACAAGAATGCCATCGAATAACATTATCCTGAACCTATCTGATGAGAAACCCCGTCATTATATAGAAACCATTATGTTCCAAATATGCTCATTTTAATGGACTTATAATTGGATGACATTTAACACTATTAATATGATAAGTGTATCATTAACTATGTGTCAAATGATCCCTTGGTTGATAATTGCTCAACAAACTGGATATAGCACAGCAGGTAATAAATCCCG